GTGCGCCGGGACCGCCAGGTTGAGACCGGGACGCCCAGGTGAGACCGGGACGCCAGGTGGGGACCGGGACCGCCCAGGTGAGACGGGACGCCCCAGGCTGAGACCGGGACCGCCCAGGTTGCGACCGGGACACCCATGCGCGGACCGGCCGCCCCCGCCCGCCGGCCGCCTACCTCGACATGGCGCGGGCGGCCCCAGCCCAAGCAGCGCGGCGAGCGCGGCCATGCACGCCCGGGGGCGGGTCGAGTCGAGTGAGTCGTGCGTGTCGTTCGTTGTCGTGCGGCCGGGCGCGCGCCGGCCGGGCGCCGCCCCGATTCGCTGTCGCCGCCGCCGCGGGTCCGCCGAGTGGGGTGGCGACTGCGACGGCGCGGGCAGGGCCCCCTGAACACGAGGTGCCCGGAGGGCCCCGCGGGAAGGTGCGCCGCCCCAGGTGACCCGCCTGCGCCGCGTCCGGCCTCACCCGGCGGCCTCGGCCACTAGCGGTCGCCGCGCTGCCTCTTGCGCGAAGGCTCCGCCACGCGTCACCTGACCCCAGGTCGCCGCACCTGCAGGCACAGGTGACCCCACAGGCGGGGACCCTGCGGGCCGGCCTGGCACACGAGCTCGGCGGTCGCAGCTCCCCCTAGTTTTCTTCCCGAACCTGCAAGCCCTCTTTTTTTTTCTCTTAAACTAAAGGATGAATGCCCAAGCTCACTTTTTAAACAGGAAAGCGCTTCTTAGGGCGCAGGTCTGCATTGCATTTTTATTTTGCACCCCCGTAGGCTGTGCGTGCGCCCCAAGCTTCAGCGTGCTCAACAAGGAACCGCGGGGCCTGCTTGAATTCACAAGTCGCTGACCCCCCAGGTTCCAGTGTTTCTGGTTCAGTAGCTTAGGGGCCACCTCGACATCTGCATCATCATCATTATTATTATTATTATTAATTAAGCACCCCTCCACCCACCCAGGAAACCCTGATGCAGCTGGTGCCCAGGCTGCAGTCTGAGTCAAATCCAGAGGTCAAAACTCACAGAAACTGTCAAGCAACTAGTTCGGGGCGACCCGGAGCTAGAGAAAGTTGCAAAAATCAGCTAATTTTTATTTATTTATTTTTGAGAGAGTCTCACTCTGATCGCCCAGTAAGTGATTGCCATTGTCAGACTATCACAGAACTCAACTTCCTGGGCTCGAAGCACTCCCTGCCTCAGCCTCTCCCGAGTAGCTGGACTAACGGCATGCCCCAACGCCCGGCTCTAATTTTCTGTATATATATTTTAGTTGGCCAATTCATTTGTTTTCTATTTATAGTACAGACAGGGTCTCGTTCTTGCTCAGGCTGTTCGAACTCCTGTCTATCGGATCCTCCCGCCTGGGCTCCCAGAGTGCTGGGATTACAGGCATGGAGCCACCGCGCCCATTCCAAATCGCTAAATTTTTTTTTTTTTTTTTTTTGAGACAGAGTTTCATTGTTGTCAGGCTAGAGGTGAGTGCCGTGGTCAGCCTAGTCACAGCAACCTAATTCTCCTGGGTCAATGATCTCTGCCTCAGCCTTCCGCCGAGTAGCGATACAGGCTGCGCCACCATGCCGGCTAATTATATATATATCAGTGGCCATTAATTTCTTTCTATTTATAGTGAGACGGGCTCGCTCTTGCTAGGCTGGTTTTGAATCCTGACCTTGAGCAAATCCGCCAAGAGTAGGGATTACAGGCGTGAGCACAGCGCGGCTCAAATCAAGCTAATTTTATATGCAAGGAAACAGGACTAGAAAAGTCCTTACCACTTCATCGGGTCACACTGTATTGGTGACACTTCAGGCATGAGCAGGCTTGCTGGACAGAAAGATGAAAGGTGGATGGTTGGATGGCTGGCAATGAACAGGCAGATGCAGATTTCCTGATTCTCATGGGAGGATTCCAGCTTGTGCAGCAAACTCACTGAATTTAGGGAATGAAAAGGGAAGGAGTGTAAGTTAGCTAGATTACATCTATATTCAACCTAAATTAGCTTGACTACATCCTCTCAGTGCTTCCAAACTTTTTCAATCAAGTATCTTGCACAATAGATTATTAAGAGAATAGAGTATCCTTAAAATCTCTGGTTTTTTTTTTTTTTTTTTGAGCAGAGTCTCGCTATGTTGCAGGTAGAGTGAGTGCGTGCGTCAGCCTCGCTCACAGCAACCTAATCCTGGCTCAGCGATCCTCCTGCTCAGCCTCCCATAGTAGCTAGATACAGCATGGCGCCACCATTGCCGGTAATTTTTCTTAATTTTTAGTTGGCATTAATTTCTTTCATTTATAGTAGAGCAAATTATTCTTTCTGAATTTTTCTAATATATATATATGTTGGCCAATATAATTTCTTTTAATTAGTAGAGCGGGGTCTCGTCTTGTCAGGCTGTCTCGAACTCTGACCTTGAGCGAGCCTCCCGCCTCGGCCTCCCAGAGTGCTAGCATGACAGGCGTGAGCCACCGCTCCCGGCTAATTTTTTTTTTCTATATATTTTTAGTTGGCTAATTAATTTCTTTCTATTTATAGTAAAGACGGGGTCTCGGTCTTGCTCAGGCTGGTCTGGAACTCCTGACCTCGAGTGATCTCTACTAAAAACAGAAAGAGATTAATTGGCTAACTAAAAATAGATAGAAGATACTAGCCAGGCATGGTGACATGTGCCTGTAGTCCCAGCTACTCAGGAGGAGGCTGAGGCAGGAGGATCGCTTGAGCCCAGGAGTTGGAGGTTGCTGTGAGCGAGGCTGACGCCATGGCACTCACTCTAGCCTGGGCAACCAAGTGAGACTCTGTCTCAAAAAAAAAAAAAAATGACAGAAGGGTTTTAGATCAAAGACCCAACACGCAGATAACTTTAGTCCTACAATGAGTTGTAGCTCCTAGAACAAGCAAGTCCACAGCCACAAGATTTTCCTCCAAGGAGGAAAAAACAAAAAACGTTCAAGGTTTCATTCCTCAGGGAAACAGCACTGGGATTTCGTCTGGGGAAAACTGTCAAGACTTGTCCCTGGGCTCACGGCCACCCACAGGGAAGGCCTGCCCTTTGACCCCAACTGCTGGGCGGGTGCGCTGCAAGGTTTTGCAGACTTTCATTTGCAAGTCTGCATGGGTTAGGTGCAGAGCAGGAAAGAGGAAAGCATTTATTTAACTACGCCAGAGGCAAGAGAAAACAAAATAGAAGTCAATATAATTACAGAGAGGGTGGCTTTAGGAGCTTACCCCAAAAGACAAAGACAAAACACGAATGATCTAAACTAAAAAGGCTTTGAATGGAGGGAGGGAAAAAAAACAGGCTCTTTGTGCTTGAGTCTGGAAACACATCGCAGGCTCGCCCCGTGAGCTGCCGGGCAGATGGCTGCAGCCCCCGGGAGGAATGTTAGATCTCCCTGGAACCCTCTTGCCCTGCGGGATGCGACACTGCAGGTGCCCAGGGGGCGTGACAAGGAGCACACACGGGCTGCAAATCACCCGATTCTGTCTCTACTGGAAAATCCACACTGGGTCCCCAAGCACAGGGAGCTTCATAGTCTGCTGCAACCCCGGAGCGGGTCAGACAGAGGCTGGGAAGGGAAGCCCGGCCTCCCGGCCTCCCTGCCTCCACCCCTCTCTCTCTGTCTCTCTGTCTCTCACATGCACGCAGCATGTCTCTGTACTCAGCCTGCCTTCCGCCCTTACAGCCAGATCTGAAAGGAGGTGACACATGAAGAGCCTCCAGCCTCCAGCCCGGTCCTGGGGTTCAATCTGGTTTTGCAATCTCTTCGGAGGGATGAAAATAGATAGAGAGATTTTAAAAGCCAGGAGAAACGGAGAGGAAAAAAAAAAACTCCTCCAGGCCGAGGCGGGCGGATCGCTCGAGGTCAGGAGTTCGAGACCAGCCTGAGCAAGAGCGAGACCCCGTCTCTCACTTAAAAAGAAGAATTAATTGCCAACTATATATATATAGGAAAAATGAGCCGGCATGGTGGCGCATGCCTGGAGTCCCAGCTACTCGGGAGGAGCTGAGGCAGGAGGATCGCTTGAGCCAGATTGAGGTGCTGTGGACGAGCTGACACACGGCGCTCACTCTAGCCTGGGCAAAGAGTGAGACTCTGTCTCAAAAAATAAATAAATAAAAACCCATCGCAGGAAGAAGCAGAGTCTCAGGAGAAGGGAGGCCATCTGGAAGGCCCTGCCCTCCCCCCCCAGCATGGTTTTGTGACAGCTACAAATTGCCAATTATTAATGGCTCCAGCCTAGCAGCCACATGGGCAGCGGGACTCTCCGGTTGTTAGGAAGAGCTGGGGGCGGGCTGTCCCCGAAGCAGAAGGACAGACACTCCGGAGCAAAGATTCCCTGTCTCCCCCCCCCCAGCAGTTCAAACGTTCAGGGTCTCTCCCTGCAAGAGGCAGGTCATTAGTGGGGGGAGGGGCCTCAGGCTGTGGCTCTCGCTGCGCCCCTTCCCTTGACCTTGGATCAGACGCCAGCCTGTGCCCACACGAAATCCCCAAGCAACGTAAATGCAATTAATGCAAACATATGCAGATTATTTAGGGAATCGAAATCTGTGGGTTTTTTTTTTTCTTTTGGTCCTTATGTTTTTCATCAAAATGTGCTCACCCACCTGCCTGTGAATCTGAAGGTTATTTTTAAATCATTAGAATGACAAATATATACGGTTTGGGACTCCGTTGTCATGGATGTTAGCTTAAACTTCTGGGTTTTGGAAGTAAATGTATGTGATTCCATTATTGTCAGAACAGTCATTTTATTTTCTTTTTGAGACAGGGTCTCACTCTGTTGCCCGGGCTAGAGTGAGTGCCGTGGCGTCAGCCTCGCTCACAGCACCTCCATCCTGGGCTCAAGCGATCCCCTGCCTCAGCCTCTCCCGAGTAGCTGGGACTACAGGCATGCGCCCCCACGCCCGCTAATTTTTTATATATATTTAGTTGGCCAATTAATTTGTTTCTATTTTTTATTTTTTGAGACAGAGTCTCACTCTGTCGCCCAGGCTAGAGTGAGTGCCGTGGTGTCAGCCTCGCTCACAGCAACTTCCAACTCCTGGCTACGCGACTCCTCCTGCCTCCCTCACCGAGTAGCTGGGACTACAGGCATGCGCCACCATGCCTGGCTAATTTTTTCTATATATTAGTTGTCAATTATTTCTTTCTATTTATAGCAGAGACGGGGGTCTTGCTCAGGCTGGTTTGAACTCCTGACTCGAGCGATCTCCCCTCGGCCTCCCAGAGCGCTAGGATGACAGGTGTGAGCCACCTCGCGCCTGTCCTGTTTTAGCTTTTTAAACATAATATGTGCTCATTTTTGCAAACTTATAAATACAGAAAAGATGTAAACAAACAGACAAATTCTCATGACCCACGACCCACAGGCAACCTCTGTTAACATTTTGGTATAATTTCTTTGTTCCTTTCCATTTTCTATGCAGTTTTTTTTTGTTTAGTTGATTTCACATCAGAAATATAGCTTTTCATTCCCAAGGAGATTTGGGCAGGGCAAACATATATAAATTCAGTTTGGATCTCAGCATGTTAAAATAATAAACACTGGTCAAAATTACTTACCAAAGGTTGACTTTTAGAATACTAGTTTAAATTCACTGGTTGAAAGAAACCTACATTTATTCAAATATTCCTGCTATAAAAGTCCTTCAGCTTTTCTGAGCTACATGACTTCATAAATTTACCCTAATGACAGGAAAACCCCAGTGAGACCTACAGAAGTCTGCAAAGTCAGAGTAAGCAAAAAGGAAATTAAACGTTGTGAGGCAAAGGGCATTAAAGAGATTTCATGCATTTGTTTTAATTAGTAGAGCTGAATTTTAATCATCACAATTCTTCATCAGATACCAGTAAATGTGCTGAAACTATCTTGTAAAATTAACAAAGCCTTAACCGCCAGGAGGCCTTGTTTAATTGTATTCTAGTCTTCGCTTGCAAAAAAAAAAAGGGACTTAAGCAAGGAGATGGGGTGTTGGAAGCAGCAGACAAGTGGAAGTTTTGTTGATATTGCATCTAGCACGGTTAATAATTAGCGCACGACTGAATATAAAAATGAATGAACGATTGTTTCTCTTTTCTGCCCAGAAGTGGTGTAGACTTCACAAGGACAGGGATTATAACTTGCTTCTCCCTCTTGCATGAAACCTCAGTAGAAGGTTGAGTCATGAGGATCCAGTCAATAGAGACTCCTTAGCAGAAACACCTTCTGGGCAAAAACGGCTCTCATTCTGCCCCCTTGCAAAAAAGCAAAGCAGTGTGGACAGAACCCAGCCCCGTTAGTGTGATCCCAGGAGAAAAAGAACTCTCTCTTGCTTCTCTCCTGACCTCTACAGGAAGGATTTTTTTGTTTTTTTTTTTTTAATGGCAGAATTGTCCACAGATGGTCAAAAGAATGACTTCTTTTTTTTTTTTTTTTTTTGAGACAGAGTCTCGCTTTGTTGCCCAGGCTAGAGTGAGTGCCGTGGCGTCCGCCTCGCTCACAGCAACCTCAAACTCCTGGCTCGAGTGATCCCCTGCCTCAGCCTCCCGAGTAGCTGGGACTACAGGCATGCGCCACCATGCCCGGCTAATTTTTTATATATATATCAGTTGGCCAATTAATTCTTTCTATTATAGTAGAGACGGGGTCTCGCTCTTGCTCAGGCTGTGTTTGAACTCCGACCTTGAGCAATCCGCCCACCTCGGCCTCCAAGAGCTAGGATTACAGGCGTGAGCCACAGCGCCCGGCCCAAAAGAATGACTTCTTATTCTCTAGGTAATGTATTCAAGAGGTTAACAGTAGGAAGTATAATATATATGTGTATATTATTATATATATATTTTTTTTTTTTTTTTTTGAGACAGAGTCTCACTCTGTCACCCGTGCTAGAATGAGTGCCGTGGCGTCAGCCTCGGCTCACAGCAACCTCAGACTCCTGGGCTCAAGCGATCCTCCTGCCTCAGCCTCCGAGTAGCTGGATACAGGCATGCGCCACCATGCCCGGCTAATTTTTTCTATATATTTTAGTTGGCCATTAATTTCTTTCTATTTTTAATAGAGACGGGTCTCACTCTTGCTCAGGCTGGTCTCAAACTCCTGACCTCGGCGATCCTCCGGCCTCGGCCTCCCAGAGTGCTAAGATTACAGGTGTAAGCCACCGCGCCCGGCTAACACTAGGAATATAAATGCAATTGGAGAGTTTGTCTCAAAAAAAAAAAAAAACAGCCGGGCGCTGTGCTCACGCCTTAATCAGCTCTTGGGAGGCCAGGCGGGCGGATTGCTCAAGGTCAGGAGTTCGAAACAGCTCGAGCGAAGAGCGAGACCCGTCTCTACTATAATAGAAAGAAATTAATTGGCCAACTGATATATATTTAAAAAAAATGAGCCGGCCATGGGGCGCATGCCTGTAGTCCCAGCTACTCGGAGGCTGAGGCAGAAGGATCACTCAAGCCCAGAAGTCTGAGGTTGCTGTGAGCTAGGCTACGCCACGGCCTCACTCTAGCCTGGCAACAAGTGAGACTCTGTCTCAAAAAAAAAAAAAAAAAAACGCAAAATAGTAGTAGGTTTAAAGCTCCTCATAATGAGACTCTCAAAAACGGCCACTGGTGGCCGGGCGCGGTGGCTCACACCTGTCATCCCAGCACTCTGGGAGGCCGAGTGGCGGATCGCTCGAGGTCAGAGTTGGAGACCAGCCTGAGCAAAAGCGAGCACCCATCTCTACTATACATAGAAAGAAATTAATTGACCAACTAAAAATATATATACAATAAATAAGCCGGGCGTGGTGGCGCATGCCTGTAGTCCCAGCTACTCGGGAGGAGGCTGAGGCAGGAGGATCGCTTGAGACCAGGAGTCTGAGGTTGCTGTGAGTGAGGCTGACGCCACGGCACTCACTGTAGCCCGGGCGATAGAGCGAGACTCTGTCTCAAAAAAGAAAAAAAAAAAAAAAGAAGAGTACGTGTTTGCTAACATTATCACTACCATAGACTGTCCTCCCTACCTTTAGGAAGAAGAATCTTCTAGAACAATAAAACCTCGGGTAGAAAAAACAAAATGTTTTTTTTAAAAAACCTTGGGTAGACACAGAAAGGAATCGGCCTAAGACATGCAAAGTCAACACTGATCAGTCAAGCCTGGGTCTGAGGCAGAATTAGCATGAAGGTTAAGAACACGTGCAACAAAGCCAGACTCTAGCCTAGGTTTGAGTTTACCAGATAAAATACAGGGCATTCATTTAAATTTAAATTTTAGATGCATAGTGAATAATTATTTAGTGTATGTCTGAAAAATTGCAAAAAGAGGGCAAGTACTGCAAATACTGCATGTGTGTGTATTTTTCCCCAACCTGGCAACGCTGCTGAGGTTCGAATCTCGGTTCTGCAGCTTCTTGGCTGTGTGAGCTGGGAGAAGTTAATCAACCTCTCTGTACTGAGGCGTCTCGTTTTAACAGTGGAAACGATGAAAGTACCCACCTCATAGAACTGTTGTGAAGATCAAATGAATGAATGAATATTCTTCTTTACAGCACAATTCCAGTTTTTTTCCCCAAGTCTCTGAAATGAGTCAAGAACTAATCAGTGATTGGCAAGGAACATCCAGGAAAAAAAAGAAAGATAAAAAATATTTTAAAAATAAATAAAAAGATAAAAAAAGGAACTAATCAGTGAGAAAGGCAACCCTATGCGATGTAGTTTATTTCTTTTTCTTTTTATTTTTTTTATATTGTTATTTATTTATTTGAGACAGAGTCTCACTCTGTTGCCCAGGCTAGAGTGAGTGCCATGGCGTCAGCCTCGCTCACAGCAACCTCCCAACTCCTGGGCTCAAGCGATCTCCCTGCCTCAGTCTCCTCCGAGTAGCTGGACTACAGGCATGCGCACCACGCCGGCTAATTTTTTTATATATATTAGTTGGCATTAATTTCTTTCTATTTATAGTAGAGACGGGGTCTTGCACTTGCTCAGGCTGGTCTCGAACTCCTGACCTCGAGCAATCCTCCCTCCTCGGCCTCCCAGAGTGCTGGGATGACAGGCGTGAGTCACCGTGCCCGGCCTATTTCTTTTTATTTTTTAAATTTTTTTAAATTTTAAATATTTCCCACTGAAGACTTTTTATTAAAACAAAATTTTTTTTAATATTTTAAAATATTTTTTATCCTCTTTTTTTCTTATTCCTGTTTTTTATCCTTTTTCTTTTTATTCCTTTTCTTTTTATTCCTTGTTTTTCTTTTTATTCCTCTTTTTTTTTATTCCTCTTTTTCTTTTATTCCTTTTTTCTTTTTATTCCTCTTTTTCTTTTTATTCCTTTTTTTTCTTTTTATTCTTTTTTTTCTTTTATTCCTTTTTTTTTTCTTTTTTAGCAGGCAGAAGACATAGCAAATATGCAATGTAGTTTAAACTTTCAGTGATAGAAAAAGAAAAACAGGCCGGGCGCGGTGGCTCACGCCTGTAATCCTAGCACTTTGGGAGGCCGAGGCGGGTGAGTTGCTCGAGGTCAGGAGTTGAAACCAGCCTGAGCGAGCGAGACCCCGTTCTCTACCAAAAATAGAAAGAAATTAATTGACCAACTAAGAATATATATACAAAAAAAAAAAAAAAATTAGCCGGGCATGGTCGGCGCATGCCTGTAGTCCTAGCTACTCGGGAGGAGGCTGAGGCAGGAGGATCGCTTGGGCCCAGGAGTGGAGTTGCTGTGAGCGAGGCTGACGCCACGGCACTCACTCTAGCCTGGGCAACAGAGTGAGACTCTGTCTCAAAAAAAAAAAGAAAGAAAAAGAAAAAGAGATTACGTAAAAAGATTACGTTCTGACGTCAGGGAACGGAAAGGAGGAAGAACTTTAAAAATCAATGGTTTTCACCCATAAATAAACTCACCAGCTGTATTACTGGCAGCACAGTAAGAGCTGTCATGCGGGACCTCAAACCCATCCTGGTGGCGACTGCTAAGAATCGTATCTCGGGACGGTTAGCCGAGCGTGCTGCTGTCCCGATCGTCGGAGCACGTGTGTACTTCTGCGCTGTCATCACTGTGTTGTCATTGCCCACCCAGCCAAACCCGGTCCCAGCGCCCTGAACCAAAAGCACGGCCAAGTGGAGAGACGGGAAGGAATCAGGGAATCAGGGAAGAAAAGCCTCCAAAAAAGCTCACACTATATGAATATGCGCTAGTGGGAAATGCAATCTCGTGTCTCACGATTAAAAACCGCACACATATATGCAGCTACTGATCTGGCAAAAAAAAAATTAAAAAAAAATTTTTTAAAAAAACCGCACACATGTACACACATGCGTGCATGCAAACACATGCGTGCATGCAAACACATACGTGCATGCAAACACATGCATGCATGCAAACACATGCGTGCATGCAAACACATGCGTGCATGCAAACACATGCGTGCATGCAAACACATGCTTGGGGCACAGCTCCAAGCAATAAAGGGCCCGCAGGGAAGGAAGGGGAGAACACGCTTGCTGAGCGATCCTTACCGAATGAGTCTCG